CTTGATCGACATAATTGGGTTGGACTTCACATGAAATTGGCCTAAGGGCAGACTCAGTCCCAAACAATATCTAAGAATAAATAAACGCATATCGAGTAAATAAAGTATGAATCCAATATTGATAGGTGCACTAAACCCTCTACCCTTTGTGCATACACCTTTTGAAGAATAATTGCGCTTGATAGCAACCAATAACGTATTATAAAAATTACATTTGTGTAATTTTTGACTTTGTTTACCGAGACTATTTACCAAATAATATGAGAAAAATTAAAGTTTATTCTCTCCATTTTGTAAATAAACTAAAAAATACAAAATATTTTTAAAATAAAAATACTAAATCAATCTTATTAATTTTATTAATGTATTAGAAGATGTATTCAAATAAATTTTGTTGACACTTGTTTTAAAACGAAAAAAAAGCTTTACAAAACTCTATTTAACACGTGGCAACCAATAATAACTGAGTACTCCAGTTAAATGAGGTTGACGTCCAGTTAAATCAACTCCCATTGTGATAGTCATTTACAACATCCAATTGCAAGTGAACATGTTAATAATTTATAGAAAATCTAAAATATCTGTCTAATAAAAGAATATATTCTGGAAATGGCGATTATACCATTCTTAATCTAAGTTCATTTTCTCCTAATATGAGGGTTATTCCTGTCCAAACTCACTTAACTTAATCGTACTCGCAACGGTGGTCATAAAGCACTCCGTAGTTTGAAATTCATCAACAGTAAATCTAACGAAGTCGATGTGTGGAACGAAGTTCAAAAGAATTTCGATAAACTTTTTAAAGACGGTTTTCTCCATCACATCGATTTTGGTCAATGCATAGGTCAATTTCTTTTCTGAAATCTCTATTCATAATGTTGCATTGTTTGTTTAAACTATTTAATTTCTCTCTCTGTTTCAATGCATTTTAGTTTAGTCAATTTGCTTTGGAACTCTTCGATGCTCTGAGCCGTAAATAGAGGTTGAAGGTTGAAAAGATAAACAGGGAAGAACTATTCGAGTTTTGGAAGCAGATTACTAATCAAAGTTTTTAATTATTTATGTTTCTGTTTCATGGTGCACACTATGTGTTTGTTGAAATTTTGCAGTTAATCTTGATTTTTTCTTCTTCCTGAGAATGATGTTGTTTTGACAATTTTCTTTACTTACACAATTTATTTTTTCAACGATCAGTAATTTAGAGTTCCATGAAATTTATAATTTACATGTAATCTTTGACAGGGAGATTCAACTTTAGAAAACAAGGATGGTTTTGAAAGGAGATTCAACTTTGTCGGTCATTTTCTAGAGGCAAGGATGATTTTAGGCAATTGATATCTTTGTTGTTAATTGCCAGATACTGTCATAACAGTACATTATACTGTCATAACATCATATTATGTACTAGCTATACATATATTCAATTTAGTATCTATAGCATCAATGTTCTTTAATATTAGGAAACTACTTTTGGAATGATTAGCTATTCCATTCAATCTTGCAATAATATATAGCATATGAAGACTCAATGAAACATATGACATTTTTCCATCTCAGAAGAACAATTTTGTAATGGTATCAAAACAGGTTATACATATAGAATAAAACATCTAAATCATGTCTGACAGTGAGGGTGAAAGTTCTCCTGTGAAAGAATCTTCCAAGTCAGTCAATAATGGCGATGGAGTAGTCATCTGAAAAACCGTATCTCCCTATGATATCACTTCCAATGATAATCCCGGGAGTTTGATAACACAGGTTCAATTAAAGGGAGAAAACTATGACGAATGGGCTCGTTCACTTAGAACAGCACTTCGAGCAAGAAAGAAATTTGGTTTTGTTGATGGGTCAATCAGCAAAGTGACGAGGAATCTTCAAATCTTGAAGATTGGTGGACTAACAACTCCTTGTTGGTCTCTTGGATCATGAACACAATTGAACTTTCATTGCGATCAACTATGTCTCATATGGAGGTAGCCATGGATCTTTGGGAAGACATTAAGGAGCGGTTTTCCATTGTTAATGGACCACGTATTCAACAGCTCAAAGCAGAGCTCGTTGAATGCAAACAAAAAGGACTGACCATTGTGACATATTATGGGAAACTGAAGAAGCTGTGGGAAGAATTGGCGAATTACGATCAGATCCCGGCATGCAAGTGTGGGCGTTGCAAGTGAAATCTCAGTTATGTGTTGCAAAAGAAACGCGAAGAAGAGAAAATCCATCAATTCCTCATGGTTGTTTTCGAATGGGCCATGATTTAGATGGTTGTTTTCAGGTAATAGGATATCCTGATTGGTGGGGAGATCGACAACGCGGACAGTTGAAGGGAACCGGGCGTGGAAAACGAGAACAATATAAAGTTGTTTTTAACAACAAAAAACGTGGAGTTGTTAAGGCTCATGTAGCACAAGCAAAATCATCTAAAGAAGAGGTTGCTTCTGAAACATCAAGTTCTGATATTTGCAATCCAGGAAATATTACCAGTGATCAATGGCAAGCATTGGTCAGTCTTTTGAACAATGTAAATTTAGGTGCAACCGAGAAGCTAAATGGTAAGTGTTCCTTTTTGCCATGGATTATTGATACAGGTGCATCAAATCATATGACTGGTCAACTGGAATGCTTAACCAATGTGCACAATATTTTTGAGTGCTCTGTTGGACTACCAAACAGTGAAGAGACAGTGGCGACAAAGGAAGGAATTGTGATGCTCAACGAAAGAATAAGATTAACTAATGTCTTATATGTGTTTAGTCTACACTGCCATCTTATCTCGTATCATAGCTGCTAAAAGATTCTAACTACACTGTTAAATTTACTGATAAATTTTGTCTTATACAGGACCCCACTTTGAGGACGCCGATTAGAGTGGGTGAACAAAGTGAGGGGCTATGTTATCTTAAAGAGATGGTCAAAGCAGCTGCAGTGAAAACAAATAAGGAAATCACTTTGGACCTGTTACATCGCAGACTAGGACACCCATCTTTGAAGGCTCTGCAAATGTTTCTGAATGTTAGTTCTAGTAGAAACAATTATCTATGTACCCAATCATGTGAAATATGTCTTAGAGTAAAACAGTCTCAAGATACTTTTCCAATTAGTGAAAATAAAGCAACTTCTGCATTTCATCTAATCCATTGTGATTTATGGGGGCCTTATCGCAACCCAACTTTTTGTGGCGTTAGATATTTTTTAACTATTGTTGATGACTACTCGAGAGCGGTGTGGATTTATCTCATTGTTGAGAAAACAGAAGTCTCTAGATATCTTTGTCAATTCTTTGCAATGGTTGAGCGACAATTCAATAAACAAGTAAAGATTGTTCGTAGTGATAATGGAACCGAATTACTTGCATGAAAACATATTTTCGTGACAATGGTATAATTCACGAAACTTCATGTGTTGGGACACCACAACAAAATGGAAGAGTAGAGCGGAAGCATAGACACATTCTCAATGTTGCCCGAGTCTTGCGCTTTCAGGCTCAATTTCCAATTCAATTTTCGGGTGAATGTGCTCTTGCTGCGTGTTATTTGATCAATCGCACTCCTACAAGGAACTTGGATGGTAATACTCCATTTGAACTCTTGTATGATACACATCCTTCTCTTGAGCACCTTCGTGTTATTGGTTGCTTAGCTTATGCGCATAATCAACATCATAAGGGTGATAAATTTGCTGCTTGAAGTCGAAAATCTGTATTTGTGGGTTATCCATATGGCACCAAGGGATGGCGTATGTATGATTTAGAGCTGGGCGTTTTCTTTAACTCAAGAGATGTTGTTTTCTGTGAAAATGAATTTCCTTTTGCTGCCGAAATTTCGTCTGAAAATGATCACATCTTGCCTGGTGCATCTTTCAGTAATGTTATTGAAGACGATTCTCTTGAACTTGTTCCTACTATACCTGCAGTCCCTTCAACTCCATCAATTGAAACTGCAACATTACTTGATAAAGATATGTCAAGTATCATGCCACCTGTTTCAATTGTATCTCCTACTGGATCTTCTTCATTTGACTCCCATAATATGGCATCATTTGTTGAAACCAGTGAGGAACCACAGGCTGCAGACACTGTCGAAAATCTGGGACGTGGTCATCGTATCAAATTGCCTTCTACCAAGCTGCAAGACTTTGTCACCAATACCGTCACTAAGATATGCCCCTCAAATTGTTCTACTGCTTCGTCACGTCCTTCAGGTACACCTTATCCCTTAGCCAAGTATGTAAATTATGCTAACTTTTCACCACGACACAGGAAATTTTTAGCCGCTATTTCTGCAGCTACAAAACCTCAAAACTTTGCTGAAGTCGTAAAAAATATTCAATGGCGGGATGCCATGAAGCTGGAAATTGAAGCTCTTGAAAATAATGGCACTTGGACAGTAGAAACACTTCCGCCAAACAAAAAGGCTATTGGTAGCAAATGGGTGTATCGGATTAAATATCATTCAGATGGAACTATTGAGCGTTATAAGGCAAGACTTGTTATTATGGGGAACAACCAAATTGAGGGGCTGGATTATCATGAAACCTTTGCACCAGTGGTGAAAATGGTAATTGTAAGAACATTTCTCGCTGTTGCGGCTGCCAAGCGTTGGGAACTTCACCAAATGGATGTTCACAATGCCTTTTTACACGGTGAGCTTGATGAAGAAGCATACATGAAATTACCTCCCAGTATCAAGACCTCTACACCAAATCAAGTATGTCGCTTGCGCAAATCTTTATATGGATTGAAACAGGCACCTCGATGTTGGTTTGCCAAACTCAAAAACTCTCTGCTACGGTATGGTTTTATACAGTGCTACTCTAACTATTCTCTTTTTACTCTACATCGTGATTATGTAGAGTTGTATGTGTTAGTCTATGTGGATGATCTTATCATTTCTGGAAACAAGAACAAATCAATTGAGTCCTTCAAATCCTACTTGAACACGTGCTTTCATATGAAAGATCTTGGCCCTTTAAAATATTTTCTTGGCCTTGAGGTGGCTCGCAACTCCAATGGGATTTTCTTGTGTCAAAGGAAATATACACTTGATATCATCACCGAAGTTGGGTTGTTGGGAGCTAAACCCGTTGGTTTTCCCTTAGATCAGAATCATCATCTTCCCTTGGCCACTAGAACTCCTCTTTCTAATCCGGATCGGTATCGAAGACTAGTAGGTCGTTTGGTCTACTTAACTATCACTAGACCAGAAATTTCTTACTCTGTTCATATGTTGGCTCAATTTATGCAAAAACCTTTAGAAGAGCACTGGAACGCAGCTCTCCGTGTCGTCCGTTATCTCAAGGGAAATCCTGGCCAAGGTATTCTTCTCCAAGCTGATTGTGATCTTCAAATTTATGCCTGGTGTGACTCGGATTGGGCAGGATGTCCTTTGACCAGGCGTTCTCTCACTGGATGGATTGTTTTCCTTGGAATTCTCCTATCTCTTGGAAAACCAAAAAACATGTTGTCTCACGTTCCTCGGCTGAGGCGGATTATAGTTCCATGGCTACTACTACATGTGAGCTCAAATGGTTGAAAGCACTTTTGCTCTCTCTCGGTGTCCCCCAATCTCGCCCCATGAAGATATATTGTGATAGTCAATCAGCATTACATATAGCTGCTATCCAGTCTTCCATGAGTGCACAAAACACATCGAAGTTGATTCTCACTTCTTATGTGATGAGCTTCTCAAAGGCAACATTTCAACTCACCATGTGTCCACGAATATTCAACTAGCTGATATATTTACTAAAGCATTGGAAAACAACAGTTTGATTATTTTCTAAACAAGTTGAGCATCCACAATCTACATGCTCCAACTTGAAGGGGGGTTTTAGGCAATTGATATCTTTGTTGTTAATTGCCAAATATTGTCATAACAGTACATTATACTGACATAACATCACATTATGTACCAGCTGTACATATATTCAATTTAGTATCTATTACATCAATGTCCCTTAATATTAGGAAACTATTTTTAGAATGATTAGCTATTCCATTTAATCTTGTAATAATATATAGCATATGAAGACTCAATGAAACATATGATATTTTTCCATCTCAGAACAATTTTGTAAGATGACGTGATTTAGCTGAGTAGTTATTGTAAACTATGATAATGAGAATTATGATTCAATTTGGAAAATGACACGACTGTTGAAAACTACTATAGAAAGTATTTGCATTAAAAGTACTTGAAATTCAACATGCATGCTTCATTGGCTAAGTTCCTTTCTCACACTTTTATGTTCTTCATCTTTTTTTTTTACATCATTTCTTAATTTGTAAAAAGGATTCTTTTTTGGTTAATTTGGATCATTTATGATGAATGGCAACAATGTTAAATGAACAACTAATGGATCAGGGGAATCATATGGTGGATGACACGAATCAAGCCATTGAGAGGGGAGAAAAGTTGGTTTATACCTTGAATATCGCTATACTTTTCTTCCAAATACGCACTCTGCTACTGATTTTATAATTTGCTATAGTATTTTATTTGTCCTAGAGTGAAATGACTCACATATTATGCATTCTTACTTTCATTGTCGTGATAATAACATCTGGTTAAGTAAATATATGGTTTTTAATTTGACAGTCCTCTAAAAGTAATCCAAGTTTTTTTTATTTTTTAATTTGACATGGGTACTAAAGGAGTAATCCCTTCTTTTTTAGATGGAACAGATGAGCAGAGTTGTGAATGAGTTGGATTCTATCCATTTCTCTATAAAGAAAGCATCTGAGTTGGTCAAAGAAATCGATAGGCAAGTCAATTTCTACAGAATTCACACATTTTATTCGATATAGTTCCTAACTTGATGAATCATTCATTGATAAACTTGCTGACATTTTTGTAGTGGGTTGCTACTGACAAGTGTATTATGGCATTGCTTTTCCTTTTTGTCATTGGAGTAATTGCTTTCATTATTGTAAAGGTAAGAGAAGTTTACTTTCTAACTTGAATTTTGGATTCTATTTGGTGTTGTTACAAACTGTCAAGTTCAAAATCTCTTGATTTATTGTGTATGAATATGATTATTATAAATGGAAGTTTCCTTTATGTTATCACCATCATGGTTTCATTTTACCTTGAAAAACAATACTCAAAAAGTTAACTCTATAGCTATCTTGTCAAACTATATTCAAGAAGTTATCACTACCTTGGTGCTTATTTTTACGGATAAACCTTGTATTCAAGAAGTTATCACTATCTTTGGTGCTTATTTGTCCCTCTTTTTTATTTGACCTATGTAATTTATTTTTCTTATCATTGTAAAGGGAAATAGTAGTTTGAAGTGTTTTTTTAATCCAAATATAGTGGGAAGAGGAAAAAAAACAAGTGGTCGCATACTTGCAAGTAGCGTTGTATCTAATTCTATCCACCTTTTGAGGAATCTTTGATGCTTATTTGTCCCTCTCTTTTATTTGATCTATGTACTTTATTTTTCTTATTATTGTTGCCTCTGATGTTTTCTTAGGCTTGGTAAAATAAGAATTAAACTTTGATGTTTGAGGTTTTGAAGTTTTGATAATTGAATTTATATCCTTTACACCTGGTTAGTTTGGTTTTTTTGGTCGATGCAATATAAGAGATGTACAAATGGTTAATGAAGGTCTCACTCATGTTCATCCTCAAAGGTTTCACTCACTAATAAAGGTTTCACTCATAGTCATCCTTATTAGAGTTATAAGGGTAGTTCTGTAATATCCTGTAAAAAGGGAATTAGACTAGTGTCTAATTCCATTTCTATCCCCTTATCCTTTCTATATAAAGGAAGACTGTAACAGAATAAAGAATTGAAATAACAACTTTCTGTTTTTCGTTTTCCCTCTCTTCTACTCTCTCTCTCTCCTTTCTCTTCCTTTCACTCTTGCTTCTCTGTTTCTAACAATCCTCAAAGATTTCACTCATGTTAATGAATGTATTGATATTTTGTTGAAATCAATCGCATTGGCATCTTTTGTTCTAAGATATGCCACAAACTTTGGCAAATGTCCATGCTTTGCCACCCATTACAAAAAGTCCATAACTTTTATCTGTAAATTCTGAGTCCAGCTTGAGTCTTCCCTGTCAAAATAATTACAAGCAACAAAGTTTTCATGATGAGTGGCCTGTAATTGAATAGTTAATAACTAGAAACGCACAAGCACTAAGCATATAGTCTTCATCAAATGCTAATATTTCAGTTGAGCATCATGATACTGAAGCATGTTGACACAAGAACCGTGAATTAGATGCAGACCAAGTTTCACGGGAGGTGATTACTCATGTTAATGCTATTTCTTAAAAGATTAAATCTGCTTCTATACACAACGTAGGTTGATAATGCTATTTATTATGAGCACCACGAAGGTAACTTTTGACTCAGGTTTTATATTTAGTTGCCACATTCTTTATTTTTCTATAAAACAATGATTGCAACACGACATTACTTCTTCTTTACACTACATCGATGTAGAAGTGAGACTTAGAAAAACATACTTTTGTATGGTGTTGCCTTGTCTTTAATAATGTTTAACCTGTTTTTTCCGGTAACATGATTTTTTTTGTTATCCTTATTAAAAATTTTATGTTTATAATATTTAACCATAAAATTAAAGAATGATTTTATTTTTATACATGGGTGGCCATTGGGGCTGGATGGCAAGCTGTTGTGGCCTATGTGAACATTACATGTTATTATCTATTTGAAATTCTTGTGGGTCTTATATTGGGTTACAAGGTTAACTTGGGAGTCAAGGTAACTCATAATTACCCCCTTATTTTGTTTTCTATAATAATGAAAACGAGCTAATACTATCATAATTCAAAATTACTTTAAGCATGTGATTTATATATTTTAAAGAACTTGGATTGGAATGATGTCAGGGACTATATTTCAGACATGTGTTTGATACTTGACATGCATGTTTGGCTTGAAATGACAGACACAAAAGACTGTGCTTTTATTTTAATCTGTGCCAATACATGTTGATGTATTCATTCACAACGGTTTCATTATTTTTCTTCGGAAATACGTTATTGCAGAGTCGTTTTGAGATACTTTCTTTGGCTGGATCCTTCATGCTTACTGATAACGAAGGAACAAGAAGAAGGGCAGGTGGAATGACCATCTCACTGGAAACCCCCGGTGGCCGCGTTGTTGGTGGAGGAGTTGTTGGTGTTCTTACAGTTGTCACTCTTATGCAGGTAAGCATTCTTTCATTCTATTACACTTGAGACATGTTCAACAATGCAAAAAGGAACCATGTGTTTTGTTTTTCCTTCGTATGTTTGTCAAGCAAAATAGGATTGAAATTTTAGAAGTGACCATTGTCTGTTCTTTTAATATCTCATGTTTCCAATTCAGGGACAGAAAATGGGAATACCTCAAACATTACTATGGGTTAATCGTCTATCATCAAGAATGGTGGTTAAGAAAAGAACTCACCAAAAAGGAAACTCGGAGATTCAAAATCCTGGCAATGCAGGTAAAGTTCCTTTACAGTCCACTACCACCGACCAACCACTACTGAATGTGACGATAGCTTACGCTTCTTTATTGTTACAAACTCTATAATAAATAGTAGTGTAATCTTTAATTCCTTTACTTTTTTTACTTATAATTATAGTTAAAAAAAAATATTAAATTAGAATTTTTTTAAAGTTAATTTTGTAATGATGTCATGGAAAATGGTTTCTAATTTAGCATTAGAAGACTCAGCATTAGATAACTTAATTGTTTTTTGTGTTCATCATGCCTAAGTAGTTGTGGTTTGTATTCACTTTTTACTTTCGTCAACTACACGTGTGTTCATCAATATCAAGTTATTGTTTTGTTTAAGAATGTATTTCATTTTGTACTTCTTCTCATTCTATTATATGTTGAAATTATCATCATGTTTAACGCCTTCTCAAACTCAACAAGTCATTCTCATTCACATTGACGCAATATGGATGGATTCATTGGTTTGGATTTTTTGTGAAAAGACACAAAAAGAGGGAATGTTTTTGAAAATGTGTTGGCCGGAATTTTCGACAAGGACCAAAATTTAACCAAAAGAAAAGGATTAAAAGGGTTCTATTAAAAAAGATGATTTATGTGACATGATTACTGATGTAGTCGACCTAAGACTTAGAGAGATTCTACAAAGTATTCGACTATTGGTGCAATGACCTGGAGAGATTCCACAAATAAGCGATTGGGCCTGAAAACAGGAGCAGTCGACCTGGAAGGAATTCATAAGTCATTGGGCCTAAAAACGTCAAAAGGTCCAAAAGATCCATCAAGCGAGCGAAGCGTTTTGGAGGGAAACTTGGAGAACGTGGGTTCGAGAGTAGAAATGGAGAACGTGAGATCATGGAGAGGAGTTACAAGATAAACGTGGCGTACGAAGAAGCAAAGTTCGCTAGAAAATAGTTATTTGGTGTATTATAAATAAAACACTTGGTGCATAGTGTCAAAGGTTCAAACTTTCACATTCCTATACGCTAGTCACTCAGAATATCCAAACAAACGAGCGAAATGAGTCAAGCTAGGGCAATGTACGTTTGAATCAACTTATTTTCAACTATTTTGATGTTATGTCATTTACGTTTACAGTTTAAACGCCTTTTGTTTTATTTTACAAGCCTTGCTTTATTGGTTATAAACTCGTTTTGCACTAGTTGAACGAATCCTTTTGAACATACTTTGTGAAAACACTCGAAAACTGAAGCACTGTACTGAGATTCCCTAGTCGATCTTGCCAGTAAACTTTTTGTTAAGAGACCAGCGTTGTTTACCAAAATTGGAGGTAAACAAATTGGCACGCCCAGTGGAACAATGCTAATAATTTCATATTTATGTTTGGTTTTACAAAGTTTCTTGTAAGAAGTGGTAAACATTTGTCAAAGTCTAAAATGTCACGCTCTTTCTTGTAAGAAGTGGTAAATATTTGTCAAAGTCTAAAATGTCACGCTCTGACACAAACACTACACAGATTTCTACACAAAATGTGGATGTCATACCAGTGAGTACCACAACTCAAAGCGCGATGATTTTATCTCATGTGAGGTCGACCGCTGACAGAACCTAGGTTTTTTAGGCACTGTGTTAGTTGGTAAACGACATTTCCTTTTTCTTTTATGGTACAATTTTTATCTTCATCTTTTAAATCTTTCTTTTATTGCGACTTTATATAATTGAAGTTAGAGAATCTTGACTGTACGATTTATTCACTTCAACAAATTTTTAAATATTTCAATCAATGTAATTTCTCTATATATTTTTTCAAATTTCCAAATTTATAATAAATACGTTGTCATAATTTTTTGAGCCATATTTCCTTTTTTTTAATAGGCTTAAATGCAGTTTTGACCCCCCTAGTTTAAGGTTTTTGGAGTTTCGATCCCCCTAGTTTAAAAGCCAGGTTTCTAGTCCCCAAAGTTTTCAAATTTGGGATTTTTGAAGCCCCTCCATCTGGCTGCCCAAAAAGTGACATGGCACAGAGAGAGTAATGCCACGTATTATTTATTTTTTTTTTTAAATTTTTTTTTCTTCTCCTCATAGGCAAAATTAAGGTTCGAAAGGAAAAAAAAATACGTGGCATTACTCTCCCTGTGCCATGTCACTTTTTGGGCAGCCAGATGGAGGGGGCTTCAAAAATCCCAAATTTGAAAACTTTGGAGACTAGAAACCTGACTTTTAAACTAGGGGGATCGAAACTCCAAAAACCTTAAATTAGGGGGGTCAAAACTGCATTTAAGCCTTTTTAATATTACTTGGATCAATGTATAAAAAATAAAATATATTATTAATCTATATTTTCAAAGCTGACAAATAAAATATCGCCATGTATAATATAAATCCTATCGTATCTTATTACTAGTTAGTGTAAAACAAAAGAACACGCTTTGCTTTTTATAGCACTTGGATTAAATTCTACCTTTAATATAAACAAAATTAATCTATGTATAAGAAAATTATATGTTATGGAAAAGACAAAACAACCCTTCCTTCTTCCACAAAATGCCACGTATATGCTTTTAAATTTTCCAAAATTTCTTTCAGCTTCACGTTTTCCAATGCCTTTTCCATATATTCTTGAAATGTAATTGACATTAGCAGTATGGTGCAAACTGTCTTTTCCTGCTTCTCCCCTATTCAAATGCCTATTCCATATTGTGTTGTCAAATCATCTGACTTTCTTTGCTCATTTCCTTTACCCACTTATAAACCCTATCACAGTCGGACCAAACTTGTGTTCTCCCCCGAACTCCATTTTCTTCACCTCTTTCAAAACCCTTTTCTCTTCTTCCTTTTGCCCTAACCATAGCCAGACCCTTTGAGAAGATTGTTGAACATTAACGACATCAAAGAGCTATGGGAGATTACTTCTTTTCTTTCCTTCTTCCTCAGGTACGTTTTCTTCTCCTTTTTCTCCTCTTTCTTCTGAGATTACTCGATATTTCAGGCTCACTATGAGGTGGAGTTTTTATATACCGTTGCCATTAAAATGCTTATGTCATAGTATGTCCGAAAAATCTATTCTAATGCTCGATTATTAACCTAAACTCAATTTTTGATTTTACAGCCCAATGTAGATGGGAAGAATTGCATTGCATTTCAACATTACTTACAGACATTCTCCACTATGAGAATTTGTTTGTAAATTGTAATACAAGTCTGTTTAAACAGTTTTAAACCGTCAACTTATTGGCTAATGTTTCGATTATAAATTGTCGATCCTGAACATACTTCATTGCTTGATTAGTGAACTATGTTGCATTCGAAATTGAATCTGCAGATTGTTATAGTGAAACATTATCTCTTGCTCTGTTAGAATTCTTTTTTACTCAGTATTCCATCTAGGCACTTACAAACTGAATCCAACTATAATTTTGTGATGGTTTATTCAACCTTTTATATTTATTAATCATTGATTAGTACTGAATATAGAGTTGAGCATGTTGCAGCACTTTATGCTACTCCCAGAAGATCAAAATATAACAAGAAGCAAAATAACAATAAATCAGATGAGATTTGCCATTGTAAACTGTCATTTCCAATGGTTTTTTCTTGTAATATACACTAATAATTTAATGCTATTTTTAAGTACTTTGATCATTTTCTTTATTATTTTTTTGCTTTCAAAAATCTACTTATTTAAAAAAAAACTTGAAATTGCAGGAATGATAAAATAGAAAAAAATACATGTTTTTGTTTATCTATTTTTTAATATAATTAAATAGAATTTAAAGAATAAGAATAGAACCAGAATAAATTAAATTGAATCCATTATATTTAATGACTTTTGATTTGTTTTAGTATTTCTATATGTGTTGCAAATCAAAACGAAAATATAATCATAATTTAATCATTAATAAATTATATATTTTCTAATTTCAAAATATTTTTTAATAAAAATGTTAACCTAAATACATTATATTAAATAGGTGTTTTAACTATATAAAGTAAAAAATTAAATATTCTTATCAAAATTCATATCAGAAAGATGAAAAGTGAGAAGAAGAAAAATAAACTAAGAAGAAAAAAAATATTGTTTATGTAGTGTTATTTAAGTATAAGATTTATGGGTGAAATCAATATATTTGACAACGAAGGAGAATCTATTGAATAATCGGTTACGCCATTTGGATTTGATGACTAATCCAGAGGTTCGAGAAATATTCAAGACTAGGTCTAGAATCATTTCTTACATTAGGTCGTTCCTGGACAAGCTTGATTTCTTAGAGGTTTGTTCTTTGTCTTGAATATTCTTGTGTTGGATTCCTGTGATTTCTTTTTATCCATTCACTTACTTTTCCACCACTCTTAGGTTGAAACACCTATGATGAATATGATTGCTGGTGGTGCTGCTGCTAAGCCATTTGTAACTCATCATAACGACCTTAACATGAGATTATTCATGAGAGTTGCTCCAGAACTCTATCTCAAGGAGTTGGTTGTAGGTGGGCTGGACCGTGTTTATGAAATTGGGAAGCAATTTAGGAACGAGGGTATAGATTTGACTCACAATCTTGAGTTTACTACCTGTGAGTTCTATATGGCTTATATGGACTACAATGACTTAATGGAGATAACAGAGAACATGTTGAGTGGTAAGCATTTACTAGGTCTTTAAATGCCACAGTATTTCTATTAATATTTTAGTTTAAAATCCTACTACTCCCATATTGAAACCATTGAATAGCTATGGTCAAGGAACTTACAAATGGCAGCTATAAAACCAAGTATCATGCAAATGGTATTGATAAGGATCCTATTGAAATCGACTTTACTCCACCATTCAGGTGTGTGGTGTGTTCTTTTGTCTGATAGTCATTAATATCCTATTGTTTTTGTGAATGATTGATTTGGGTTTTTTTTAATTGTTGCAGAAGGATTGACATGATTGAAGGATTAGAGCAGATTGCTGGCCTCAGTATTCCAAAGACTTGGCTAGTGATGAAACTAATCAATATGTAAAGAATGCCTGTTTGTAGTACGAAATCATATGTCCCCATCCCGAAACAACTACTTGTTTGTTGGATAAGGTAATCCCATTTCTTTTTACCCCTTAATATTTTAGGTATGATGCCCCTTGTTTATTTATGATTCATAACAAGACATTTTAGCACTGTTTATTAATTCATGTATGTAGCAAACCCCAAGTAGTGTGGAGATAATGCATTTAACTGTTGTTCATGTTGTATTGCAGCTTGTTGGGCACTTTTTTGGAGGAAACATGTGTCAATTCCACATTCATCATAAACCATCCTGAGATAATGAGTCTGTTGGCGAAGTGGCACAGATCAAAACCTAGCCTTACTGAGCGTTTTGAATTGTTTGTTAACAAACATGAGGTGATATCATGTCGTTTGGGTGATTGATGTTTAAAAAAAAGGATTCACGCCTCTGACTTCTGATCAATGTTTTTGTTACTTTTCAGATTTGCAACACATATACTGAATTGAATGACCCTGTGGTACAGCGACAAAGATTTGCTTGAGCAACTCAAGGTAATAAGATATGATACTGTGGCATTAAAATAATTATGCTAAATCGGTTGGCCATTTTCCTTGAAATAATAATATTGATTTTTATTTGTTTTGTATATCACGTGATGATGAAGCAATGGCCTTAGACGAGACATTTTGTACTGCTTTGGAGTATGGTTTGCCACCAACTGCTGGTTGGGGTTTGGGTATTGATAGATTGACCATGTTATTGACCGACTCCCAAAATATTAAGGTTCTTTCTCTTTTTTCTCCTGCCTCTGTCTCTGCTCACTTTATTTTGGCAATATCTTAGAATCTTCTGTCATTCTCTTTACAGGAGGTTCTTCTCTTCCCTGCAATGAAACCTCAAGATTGATCTTTCCACCAAAGCTGTGTCAAATCTTGTCTGAATTAAATCATTTACAGGTTTGTTATGCTTCAAGCTGTTAAGCATGTTTAGCCTACATGACCTACCATATTAAAACCAGATTTAAGGATTGAATTTCAAGACTTATAGATACCAGCCGCCTAGTTTTGCACAATCTTAATTAAGTTCATATTGTTTATGTTCCAAATAACGTACCCATAAAGATGACAATTGCAGCAGCTTTTCACAAAAAGGACTTCTATATCACGAATCAAACGATAAGATACTCAACGTCGAAAAAAACTTATTGAAAAGCAACACTTCTTGTCTAACATAGATAAATAATTCTTAGACATTCCATTAACCCTAAATACTAGATAAATAATCTTTTTGTTCTCTTATCATTTACGTTTCTATCTATCAACTTCTAAAGACGTGTTGCAATTGGAAGCTATAACAAATTCATAAGGTAATAGGTTTGATTTATTCTTCTCCTAATTGTTGTTTAGGATTAACAATATTCTACTACCTGTTTAGGTTCTTATAAATTCCGGAAACAATTTTTTTTTCAGTTTGCAAATCATTGTATATGTTATTTGTATTATTTTTTAATCTATTGTCTTCCAACTTTAACAAATTCATTTTAAAATGTTAGGTCTATGTTTTCAAAATAATTTATTTATTTTTCTGTATCTATTTAATTTATATTTTCTATATTTTCTGAGTATTTTTTTCTGTTGTCTTTTTATTCAATATTTTTTATTCTCTCTGATTCCTTGGTTTCTTTGGTTTTCAACCAATGATTTACCGCTGATGATTTGTTTTTGTTTTTGGAGTTTTGTATTTACAAAGTTTTGTTTTTGAAATGGAGTTGATTTGTTTTTGTTTTTTGAGTTTTGGATTTACAAAGTTTTATTTTTGTTTTTTAAATGGATTTAGCATTTTTATTGGTACATTGCATGTAATCGTTATTTATTTTTTAAATGGATTTAGCATTTTTATTGGTGTAGTGCAGAGAATCATGGTTAAAATTGAATTTGATTATATAATAATAGCTGACATTTCTAATAAATTTCTTCCCATCTAAAATAATGAATCTTTTCTCATCTAAAATTTTAATTAATTTAGAATTAGTAATTAGTAATTCTCTCAAATTTTGTTTTTGTTTTTGTTTTTTTGAAAAGAATATATATAATTACAATTAAACGATCTAAAGAATCCGTCTACACATAAACTTATACAAATTTATTTTTAAAATATCAATAAATAATTAAAATAATTAAATTTATTGACAATAATTTTGAATACTTTCTATTTATTAATTATTCTAATTTAATCACTCTAATTTAAGTTTAAAAGATTAATAATAATTTTGATCTCTATTTAATAAATTTTTAAAATTGTTCCCTACATATTCTATTGCGCGACCCGTGCCAATTAGGAAAACTTTGTCAAAAACTTAAGCATGGAAGGGTTTGTAAATCTTTAAAAAAAAATTTTTTTATATATTTGAGTCATTCATGAAAAAATCACTCTATTCTTGTATTTTTATACTTTTATTTTGTAGTCAAACAATTAAATTATTGAAAATAAATAAAATAAAGTTTAAAAAATTATATTAAACGAGTTACATTGGAAAAGAATTTTAAATAATAAAATCTTTTCATATTTTTATTTTGTATAAAATCATAACACATCCCAAAAGTCAAACTATCGATATGACAAAATTACTTAAAGTGATAATTAGTTGCAAAAACTCTTTAAGAAAATAATAGACAATTTTAATATATCCTTTTGATGAATATTTTTAACACTATAAGAATTATTACTGCATAACTTCTTAAAACCTTTGCAATACCTTTGAACTATTGTGAAAAAATAAATCAATATCAATTATGACAAAAATTAATATTTATATAAATAATAAGTAGGACATCAATTATTGTATTGCATGAAATAACAACCGTAAATCAACTATGTTTATACAATTACAAAATGCATATATATTATGTGAATTAAATCTACTCTACTTTTAACATAGTAATAAAATAGACTTCAATCAAATTTACTTGATTTTAACAAGCATTTTACATACTCCTAAATATCATTTCATCTTTTTAATTATTATTTACCTTAATTAAATATTATAATTAATTTTCACAGTAAAATACATTGAAAACACGCAAAAACTTTTCTCATTCTTTTATATACTTTTCATCCATTTATTAAAGTCAATTTATTTATTGCTCTTCTCATTTCTTCGTATAAAAGATTTCCTCTCATATTATTTTCTAAAAAAGATAATAATTAAATGATAATATAAAAATATTAATTAAATGACAATAATAAGTAACATCAAAATTTTAATTTATAAAAAATTAGAATTATTCTTATGATAAAAATGTTATCAGTTATATAAAAAAAATACAAATAATAAATAAATAAATATTTCTATAATTTTTATTGTGTTCTTCCTAATCTTTCATCTATACAAGTATAATAAATAAATAAATACTTATTTATTTTTTAAATCAAATTATTTTAAAATAATCAAGATAATATAAATTTAAATACTTTAAAATTACTATATTAATAAATTATTTATCAATCAATTTTTTAATCCATTTACTTTAAACATTAAAATTATACCAAATCAAAACTTATTATTTATATCCATTTACAACTTTGCTAAGTCTACTGGTATGAATGTTAACAAGGATAAGAGTCAAATTTTCTTTGGTTCTGATTACAAGGACTCTAAGGACAACATTTTGAAGCTAACTGCCCTTTTAAAAGTTAATCTTTCTTTTCGCTGTCTTGGAGTTCCTCTCTCTTCCAAGTTAATTGTTAATCACTATCTTTAGTTCATTGATAAAATTGTTGCTGCAATCAGACATTGATCCTCTTATCTCTTAAGTTTTGCTGATAGATTACAGCTTATCAAGAGTATTGTTTTTGCCATTTTTAACTATTGGATGACTTGCTTCCTGTTGCCTAAAATTGTGATAAAAAAATTGACGCTATTTGTCGTTCGTTTCTTTGAACTGACAAAGATAGGATCAGCAGGAAGAGTCCCATAGCTTGGCAAAAAATTTGCAAACCTAAGAAGCAAGGTGGCTTAGGTATTATTGATCTCTCTATTTGGAACTCGATTGCGTTGTTGAAGTTATTGTGGAATTTATGCAATAAGAAGGAAAACTGCTAGATGCAGTAAAGTGGCAAGCAAAAAGTAAGTTATTAATTTATCGGGTGATATTTAGGTTATATCGTATTGTGTCCACAGAGATTGGTGAATTGAAATGTCGTTCGACAAATCTCTCGTTAATGAGTTTGGAGATAAATGAGTTGAAAGGAAAATTATCAACAGAAAATAAATGTATAAAAAGGAGAAAAAAAGAATAACTTATCAAGCATGCATATATACTACTTCTCACAGACTTAAACCTATCGACCTGTTATACTAAACCTACAATATTCATCAATGTCATCATATGTCACTTACAGTCTAAGTCATTTTTAACCCAAATTGAGAGGCTGACTGCATCACCTCGATAGCGATCTCTCAACCACCTCAACAACACAGAAGTTAACCGTACTCGCTTGCATCGACGATCTCTCAGAGCGCCACAAACAACCTAGAGGCATTAATCAGACACCCTAAGTGAATAACAACTATAATTCTATCTCTAGAATTCATACACTATTAGATAATTATCCTAGATAAGAATCTAAGTAGTATATGTCTATAACAACTCAAATCTCTAGCAGAGCAAAAATCAAGGATAACAATCGACAAATATTTGTAAAGCAAGTTTTATATAACGCCAAGGGCGGCAAATATACATGAGTTCAAAGAAAATACATATACAAATCAAACCAATAGAGAATACACAAAGAAAAAGATAAATAAATCACAAATCTACCGGTTTGTCAGTGTCGATCGAAGAGCAATCTATCCCGGATCATCCGTATGGAAACTCCATATTTGTTATCTAAGCTAATCCTAACAAAATTAAAGGTTGATGGAGTTGGGAGCAAAAACTTTCCTAAAACCATAACCTAAAAATGAACTAAATCTGAAGTTATAAAACAAATCTCAACAGACCGCGCTAAGCGGGCCTGGCGCGCTAAGAGCGACTTTTTTATTTTACATATCAAATCGACCTAAACTGCACTAAGTGCGTTATCCACGCTAAGCGGGCTTCAAAACAATGCTTCTACCAAAATATAAAAACGCAAGCAGCGCACACAAAATGCACTGAGTGCACTAGCGCTTAGCGGCCTTCTACGCGCTAAGCGGGTTCTCTTGGGCAAAACTGGTCTTTTATTCCAAAAATGCGCATCCTGAGTCGTGCCTTCAACTTCTTATTCCTCAATGCTCCAAAATGTAACAAATACCTACAAAATGAATGGAAAAACATCAAACGGTACACTATATACACAAAAACACAAATAAACACAAATTAAATGCATTTACACAAAAGTCAGGTTTATTCAATGATATTAACAATAAAGAGTCGATAATTGCAACAAAAAATATATACAAAAATAACTACAATTGACACTTATCAAACTCTTCCCAACTTGAACTTGTTTATCCTCAAACAAGGCCAAACAACTCAAAGAACTAAAAGTAATCAACCA